TACACTAGTTTGATGATAATAATATGTGACTTTATACGTATGCTTTGTTTAGTAAGCATAAAATGTTGAAGAGACACATGAAAGATACAATAAGTTAAAAACCTCCATTGTTTGGTGAGGAGGAAATGATGAAAAAGTTTTTTTAAAAAAAAATAAGCGAGAGTAGAATATTACATGTACCCCTTTTTTTTGGATAAACACAAATGGTGAAAAAAAATGCATGGAAGATATGAAAACATGAAAACTTCCTTCGTTTGGTGTAGAAGAAATTATGAGAAAGTTTTTAAAAAACATGTGGAACTAGAGCACTATGTGACACTTTATTAGATAAACAAAATGGTGAATAATTAAACTCTGGAAAGAAGAGAAGTTAAAAACTTCCTTTGTTTGGTGCAGAAGAAATGATGAGAAAGTTTTTGAAAACATGTAGGATTAGAACATTACATGTATGCTTTTTTTTTGGTAGCACCAAGTGGTGAAGAAATGTGTGGAAATATGAAAAGTTAAAAGCCTCCTTTGATTAGTGTAAAAGAAATGATGAAAGAAGTTTTTAAAAACATGTGAGATTATAGCATTACATGTACACTTTGTTTGGTAAACACAAAATGGTGTAGAAAATGCATGGAAGATATGGGATGTTAAAAACTTCCTTTGTCTATGTAGAAGAAATGAAGTTTATAAAAAGCAAGTTGGAAAAGAGTATTATATGTACACTTTGTTTGATAAACACAAAATAATGAAGAAACAGGCAAAAAAGGAGGAACATTTTGTTTGGTGTCAAGGAAATAAAAATGTTTTAAAAAACAAGTGGGACTAGAATCCTACATATACACTTTGTTTAATAAGCATGAAATGATGAAGAACTGCATAGAAGAGAAGGGAAGTTAGATTCTTCCTTCATTTGGTGAGAATGAATGATAGTTTTAGAAAAAGAAGGTAATACTAGAACACCGTATATATGCTTTTTTTAGTAAATACAAAATGGTGAAAATGTGTGAAAAAGAAGAAAAGTTAAAAAAAAATCCTTTCTTTGGTGCATAAAAATGGTAAAGAAGTTTTTAAAAAGAAAGTGGGATTCATATAAAGAAATGTGTGAAAGCTAATTTTTATTTATTTATTACACACAAATATATGTTCGAGGCTCAATAATTTCTTTGATGTAGTAAATTATACTATAACATAAATAATTACAAGATAAAATAATTGTTTTTCAATCCCCCAAAATATATTATATGGAGTTTCCCTCATCGACTATGACTTTGAGGCATGACTTACCCCATAATTTTATATCTATACTATTAATAAAAGAGATAGTCTCATTTAATGTCTACATTTTGGATAATTTTACACTTATAATTATCATTTTGCAAAAATATAAATTTTTTATTCTTTTTTTTTTAATTTCATTTTATAATTATCTATATTTTTAATAGTCACCCATTATTATATAATGTATTATTATTTATTAATTTTATAAATATAATTCACTGAGACATGAAATGCCTTTTGTATGTTAATAATAATAATAATAATTTTTATTATTATTATTATTATTATTGTAATAGTAATAATCATAATAAAATAAATGTATACTATTTTAAGATCAAATAATATAAAATAAAATGAAATTAATATTAATGATAAAAACAAATATTTATTTATAATTTCTTGAATCAAATAATCTATAAAAAATTATTTTTTATTTTATTTGTCTTCCATTCATCTTAGATTAAATAATTTTTCTTTTAACTCTTTTTTTTTATTCTTTTTCTTTTTCTTCGCATATATATTTTTTTTCTTTTTATCGAATCCAGGGATAAGGAGGAGTTATCCCTCAATTGATATTCTATTTTCTTCAGGAGATTAGTCTAATAACTTATTTTTGGAAAGAAAAAACACTTAAGTTTATATGTAACAAAATATATCTATTAAAAAAATTACTTCCTTAAAAATATTTGTATTTTATGTGGTTAGTCTCTAAAATTTATCCGAAGAGATTAATCTTATGTCTAGTGTGATAATTTAATACCTTTGGTTAAGGAAAAATATGCAATATATATATATATATATATATGACACACATTTAACAATTAACATGATAATTTAAACACACTAATAAAGATCATTATCGACAAATATTTTCTTTGATTTGATTACATATTTTGTCATCTAAGTTTAATGATTTTATGAATTTTGACACTCAATTTTTGAACTTGCATATTTTTTTAACTGTCAAAATTTTATACATTATGTCATCTTGTTATCCAATGTCGATAATTGATTATAGATGTGATACATTAATCATTGATATAATATTGATCCAACTTTCTTATAAGGTTAATTTTAATGGAAAAATTAGGTGAGCATTGTATGTTAGATTTCAAAAAGTATAATATTAAAATAAGGTTTTATGAAAAATCTGTTAGCAAAAAAACTTTATGATATATATATATATATATATATATATATATATGGTAGAGACTAGAGAGAGTGAAAATAGGATAGTAAAAATAAGTGAAGTTATTTGATTTAGAAGAAATAAGAGGGTGAAAAATTAAAAGACAATATATATATATACACACACACACATATATATATATACACACACACACACAACATAGGAACATCACATCATCATCTCATCTTTAACAACACAACAACAAAACATGACAGTATACAACACAAATCAACATAATCCAACTTCGATTCGACATAACAACACATTTCATCACAATTCAACATAACATATGTACAACACAATCATATGCTCAACACATCAATTATGTGCGTCATTATGCATTTTAACTCCTACAACACATGATAAGCAATTTAAGCTACTTAATCCTACCGAATCAACAACACATGGTAATTTTTTTGGGCTTATTAGATCAACAAAAAATTGGATAAAAATTTACAACACAACAACTCAATTTCTCGGATGTCGCCACTTAAACAATGAACTATAATACTAATGTCAGGATAGAATAGGTGGGTACAAGTCTCCCACGACATTAACTAGCTTAACTAAGCCTCCTATAGATTTAGCTCACCGACTTTTCTCTAAATATTACAACCTTTTGATACTCGGTTAGGAACTAAGTTCCCGACTTTTTAATTTACTTGGTTGGTCTCTTGTAATCAGTATAGCTCGACTTAGCCCCTATATTGTGGTCGCTTCATACATGTGCACCTCGACCTTGCCAACAAACAGTACCAACAAAGTCCTAGAGGAGAAACAACACAATGTCCATTTCAAGGGTCGACTTCCCAGGAAGGGTTTTTAACAAACAAAATTCTTGAAGCACCACAACACAATATCCACACAATATGATATGCAAATTTTGAAAATATCTCCTCTAGTCCTAAGTGGTCAACACAGCTCAACAACATAACAACTCATTATATTTTTAACATAACAACACAATCAACACACAACTTTCCAACTCATATCAACATCATCACAACTCATTTACAACATTATGATCAACATGCATCTCAATATATCACAACTCAATCACCACTACTCATATTCAACTTCTTACTTATCATATATCTCAACGACACGTCAACATTATTCATATAGTATCCCAACATAGCTGCACAACTTCACAACATACTACTCGACTCAACTTTCAACTAATAACTCACAACACAATTACCAACATACAACTTATCAACATTCAACACATAAAGTTCCTTATCATACAACATCTATACAACTTATTCATCATGATTTAACCATAAAACAACTCAAACAACAAGTTTTCAAGATATAACTCATTCATCAAGCAAGCAACCAACTCAATTTGAAAAGAAATTTATTTGACTAAGTCCCTACACTCGGTACAGAACTCATGCTCAGCCTCAACCTTCTAGAGGCACATCTCCAACTCTCACGCTCAGCCTCAGTCTCAGCCTTCTAGAGGCACATCTTAACTCTCACACTTAGCCTTAGCCTTCCAAAGCCACATCTCAGATCTCACACTCTCACATTCAACCTCATCTTTCCAGCAACACTTCCAACTTTTCATGCTAAGCGTGAAAGCTCACGCTTAGCGTCCCAAACCTAGAAACTCATACATGTAGATGAACAATTCAATCTCCAAATCCTCTCAGCTTATGTAATAATCAAGACATGCAACCCCAAAATCTTCCAACTCTAACAACATACAACTCAGAAATCACAAGAAAAGCAACATGCATCAACCACAAATCAAAGAATCATCAACATTTCAACCTCACATCAAGAACAACAAAACCCCTAAGTTTCAACATGAAACCCCTTTGAATCCATCTCCATAGTTGTAGATTTCATGATTCTATCAACATTAAATCTTTAATTCATTCAATGGTCCAACGTTTTAACCAAAACCCAAAGATTCCAACTTTCCTTACCTCAGAATGGAGTGAAATCGAAGAACTCCGACCTACTTCGAGGTAGAAGAAGAATAACTTGCTTTGCACGAATTCAAATACTTGATTCGAAGTTTCCACTACCTAAATCACAAAACACCACTTAGAAGAGAATTGGGAAGAAAAGGAGAAGAAGATTGAGAGAAAAAGAGCTCACAGATGTGAGACCTTCTCTTTAGAATCCTCTCTCTAGAGAGCTTAAGGAAAGAGTTTACAAGACTCTACTCAAAATAGAAACCTTATATATTCTTTCCTCTAGTGTCAAATTAGATGTCTGTCTAGAGGACCTCCTTCTAAATACCACTGAAGCTCTAAAAGGATTTTCAAACCCATGATCCTCTCGATACAAAAATTTTAACTTAACAACATATACAACTAGGAGTAATACAACACTATCAAAACTTACAACGTTACATATACAAATATATCTTATTTTTCACTTATTTCACTTTAACTAGTTAATTAAATTTTTATTTTATTTTATATCTATTTTTACTTACATTTTATTTCTTTCTAATTTATTTATCATCAATTTCTTTCCGCCCTCGGTATCAAATACAAACTTGAAGAGAAAGAGAACAGTGGGGGAAAAAAAAAAACAGTGGGTGGAATTTGGAAAATTTGCCACAACTTGACAACTTGTTGCTAGGTCAACACAAATAGTCTTTATCTTTAAAAAATGAACAAGTTGTGAAGGCACCAACAATATGATACCACGTTTTCCAGGCTCACAAAAACTGACCAAACCCGGTAACTTTATCAGCACCTCCTTCATAAGGTCACAAACATTCATTTCATTCGTTCACCCACCACACCAAAACCAACAAACCCAAAACAACGCGTTCCCAACCCTAATCAATCCGATCTTCTCCAGGTACCTTCTTTCATTCTCTATCTTCATCAATTGCTCAACCAAAGTTTCCATTTTTATTTTGTTTCATGAAAATCTCTTGTAATAGCATCCACCTTCCCCCATTTTTTTTTTCTTTTAGCGAAAAATCTGAGAATCGATCTAGTTTTTCCTCTTTGATTGATTTTCTAGCACCTAGATCTAACGATTTTGGCGATGTTCAATCGATTTATTCATTTACTTTTAGTTTTGATGGAAAATTGAAATGGTCTTTTTACCTTGAGAAGTATTTATATGGCTATTTCCTCCAGGTGTCGTGTGAGGGAGTGAAGGGAGATTTTGGTTGAGTTTTTTACCCTTGTTGTGCGGGAGAAAGGGGATAATTTGTGAGCAAAGCTGTAGAATTTTGGTCTTAGAATTTTTTTATTTCCCTTTTTTTTTATTTGCCTTTGTATGGAAAGTTTTGTTAGGTGGCTATTAGTTTCTGATTTTCTTAAGGGTTTTCAAGAAGATAAAGAAACAGAACTTAAGTGAAATTTCTGATCTTGGAATTTTGTTTCTTTGATTTTAGGTGCTTTTGACTTTCTCTAAGCTGTCTATGAATAGGTTATTTAGGATTAATTGTTCAAACTCTCTCATACCTTGTTACAGTTTCAAATTTAAAGTGAACTACATGATTATCATTATAGTGGATTAATTACATAGAGAAGAGGAGGAAATGGTGTCTGGATTGGTTAATGGAGGCTTGTTATTGGACATTAACATAATAAATAAGTATTTTGAACTGCTTTTTGTATGACTGATAATTGATTTTGTATGGTTTATTCAACAATATTATATCTTACTCTCCGGTTCTGTTTGTTGCAGTGTGAGTTGTAAATGAGTCGTCCACAGGATGCAAAGCGATCATTCTTCCCGTTTGGAAATCCTTTTAGGATGATATCGGCAAAAGGCACGAAAAATTCTCCACAACTGTTGTTAGTATTACATGCTTTTGAAGCAACTTTGGAAGAGAGGCTGAAAAAGCTTATACCAAAGAGCAAGGATGAGATCCTCAACTTGTCTTGGATGACTTTGGCTATGCAGACACTTTGTGAGAGTCATAATGACATTAAAACCCTCATTACAGAGCTTGAGCTGCCTGTCTCTGATTGGGATGAGAAATGGATCGATGTGTACTTTGACATTAGTGTCAAGTTGCTAGATATATGTAATGCATTTAGCTCTGAATTATCTCGTCTGAGCCGGGGTCATCTTTTACTTCAGTGTGTGTTGCACAATTTAGGATCTTCCTCTTCAGAGCAGTATGTTCGGGCATGTTCTTCACTTGATGGTTGGAAACAGCATATTGGTTCCGGAAACCCTAGGATTGATAAATGTGGCAGCATTTTGGATGATCTTCTGGGGTCACTTGATCTTCCAAAGGTTAAAAAGTCAGCTAAAGGGAAGGTTTTGATGCAAGCTATGTATGGAGTAAAGGTGCAGACAGTATTTGTATGCAGTGTGTTTGCTGCAGCTTTTTCAGGCTCTACAAAGAATATGTCAGTTTTGGATGTGGCTGACATATATTCTTGGGCTTCAACCTTTAAAGGGTTGCAAAATCTTGTAAATGAGCAAATTAGAGTTAGATTATCAGGTGGGAGATTTACTGTATTGAATGAGTTGGAAGAAGTTAATTCCTCTTTGAAGGAATTATCTCCTATTATCCAGGGTGTTGTAGATACCATTGAGACAGAACCACTTGTGAAGATTGTCAGGGAATTAGGCAGAGCGACAGAGAAGCTTTCACAAGGACTAGATCTTCTTTCAAAGGAAGTTGATAGCTTTTTCCATGTGGTCTTGACTGGTCGTAATGCCTTGCTATCTAATCTGAGATCAGGTGGAACTGGCATTGACAGCATCTTAGAGGGTAACAGAGATGCACAAAAAGTCAACTGACTGTGTTGCAACCAAACAACTCTGGTACATACCGATGAATCTAGGTATTGGGTTTTATGTTTTATGGTTGATGGTTTTCAATCATGTTTGGTTTATTGTATTCAAGCTAGAATGAGTAATAGGTTATATGATTGTCTTATTGTTCTGAAATGTATATTTGTGATGTTCTGTATAATGTTACATGATAATTATAAATATATAAGAAAGTTTCTTGTGCTCGCCAAAGTTTGTAATTTGTGGCCCTGTAATTTTTTCCATTCATTTGTTCTTGAAATCTCTGTGCCTTTTCCATTTTCGGAGGGAAGGTTTACCATGAACCTTAAAATGTTGTTGCTGTTTTATTTTTTGTTTTTTATTTGGAGGGGTGAAGAGGAATGAAACTTCTGCCATTGGTTTGAACTAGTTTTTTCGTCTGGATTCGGAAGGACTTCTGCCCTGAAACTTGATAAACAGATTATATTGGGGCAATTGATTTTTTTTAAAATTTTTATTGCATGGAATATAATCTGTAGCATGTTAGTATACATTCAAAATTTGATGCAATTTCTGTAAATGTCAAAGAGAAGGAACGAGGGATACATATGAAAAAAAGTCTCGGATTCAGTTATGAGGCTTTGACTCTCTCTGTTCTTGAAAATGGATTTACAAGTGGGTGAGCTATATGTACATTGGGCATGGAACTTACTGTTTACAGGCTTCGTTCAACTACTTTCTTTGACTCTCTCCTTGGCTTCCCTTGATCCCTACTTATTTGTGTCCCCTTGGTCTTTTACAATGCACCTCTTAACAATTTTGGGTTTAATATCATATGACGCAGCGCATTGTTAAGTGTTGCATGTTACTTTGCATATTGCTTATGTTTATCATCTCTGATATTGTGAAACTCACAGACCAGTTGCAACTTGCAACTCCTTGGTATCAAGGTGCCACGTCTGGTTCTGATCTCCTGTCACCTCAGCTCACAGAACTTGCAATTGAGTGTAAGTTTGGCTTTAGTTAGGGCTTGTGCCGCCTTGCATTCCTTTTTGAGATCTATGAAAAGTGAGTTGCTTTCTAGATCTGAAAACTGAAGCGAATTTTTGGTGGAGTACACTACATAATTTCTATATCAACTCTGAGCTGAAGTGAGAGAGCATTGCAAGTTCTGTTGAAGGGATCAGAGACCAAGTTTTGTGAGTTAGATGGTCTGTTTCGTCTCCCTCATTAAGCCCCTCAGAATCTGAGGTGTTAAAGAAACCAAAGATGGGAAGCTCTTCACTCAATTGATATAATTCTCTGAGCTGAAATAAGAGAGCTCTGCAAGCTCTGTCGAAGATAGCAGAGACCAAGCCATGCTTCTTCAAGATGATGATCTGTATGGGTCACAAAATGGAGATTGATAAAGTCAAGTTCTCCTAATGGTCGCTTTTTGAACATTTTATTTGAGTCCCTCACTCGATGTTCGGGGTGGTAATGGAAGAACCATGAACCACACAAAACTCAAGCTCCTTGCATGGTATTATTTTTGACAATTTTAGATCTTTTCTTCAGTTTTACTTGAATTTTTGCACTTGGATTAGTTTTAGATGGAAACTCGTGTTTAAGAATCTTGCTCTAGTATCAAATCTGATGCAAAGCATAGTTTGTGGGGGAAGCAAAACATCATGTTTTATTTTTACACATTGTTTACATTTATTTGCTCCTGTCTTGAATTTTGCAAGTGCACTCCTTGCATAGTGTATTCTATGGGGGAGTAAAATATCATGTTCCTAAAGGATCTGTGATTGGTCACAATTTTGAAAGAGGAAAATTACTTCGTCCCTGAAAAATTACGAGTTAATCAAATAATTTTTTTGGCAACCAAGTAGCAGTTGTAATTTCAAAGAATTCAGTGTATCATTGGAAGACTAAACATTTTAACATCAAACTTTACCTCTTAAAAAAGATGTAGCAAAATGGAGAATTTGTTTACTGCAAGCTATATGTAAGTGCCACAAAAGTGTACAGATTATACGATTTTTGTTGTACGGGCAGAATTGCTCCTCCTTATATATACAATGTTACTGTTTCACAGCTTGAACTTTTGTTTTATTGATAAAAAAGTTTACGAAGATATGTTAGCCTAATTTATGATTATGATTTGCAGTAATTTTTAATAAAAAGTTCATAAAGCCTATTTTATTGAATTAGGAGGGAAATATTTAGAGGGAGTGTATTAAAAGAGTTTTAGACATGTTATAAAAAAAAAAATGATAAAGTAGTCTTTTGCAATTACTTCTTATCTCCTTTCCTTCATATATACACGTTTTTGGGACCATAATTAAAGGGAAAAAGAGAATAACAGACAAACTAGGAAACAACGACGAAAGAGATGATTATACCTTTAGGCACCAACTTTGACTCTACATAGTAGATTGCAATGTATCATATCTACGAAGTATGCATGCAGAAGTTTACTTGTAAGAGATGGTTCTTGTTCCGCTAAGTTGGCTAATTAGACATAGATGATCGAAATTATTATTATATACAATTACGCATTATATTAAAAATAGAGTACCTCGTGAAGAAATAATATCTATTAGCTTAGCTGAGTGCATATTTAATATATATTATGTTTGAAGAAATATTTTTTAAAAAATATATTAAAAACTAAAAAATTATTTCAAAAAATCTAATCCAAACAAACAATTGATTTTTATTCATAATAAGCATACATATATTTTATGATTGAAGTTCACTTCTTTTACTTTCAAGAGACAATATACCTTTTATTAAATAAAAAAATTATCCTAGGAATGTTTCTGATGGTGCTTTTATTTGGTCCTTAATTTATATTTTTTTATATACAATTTACCTTTTACAATTTAATAATTTCATCTCCCCTTTTGCAACTTTACCAAATGAATCCCACATTCATGTAACTAATATATTTTAATTTTCAAATAGCAATAATTCCTTTAATTTCATCCTCCCCTTTTGCATAAATCCTACATTAATTCAACTCTATTATTTTTTAATTTTCAAATATTAAAAATTCCTTTTCACACTAATTTTTCGTTTTATTTATCCCTTTCCCAACCTTCCCCTCTCCCTCCCAAATCCCAACCTTCCCTTTGCCCTCCCTTTCCACCCAGATTAGCTAATGTTTATGGCTCGATTCATATTCGCAATAGGATCCAATTTTCTTAACATGGTTATTTATTTTAGATACCATGTCTTGTTCTGAAATATAAAAAATGGTGTCCTATAATTAATAAATAACTTGTGAATATGTGTTTTAACTATGTGATCATAGGTTTAATTCTTAAATTTGTTTACTCGCAATATAGTACAAGTGGTTAATAGTTTGAGCTTTTTAAATATACTTTAGAGATTATATATTTGATTATACAAGTAAAGTATTATATTTAAACTTTTTTTGAGGATGAAATGGTGAAAAAACGTGCAAAGGAAAGTTAAAATTTTATGACTATGTGTTTTAATTATATGATTAAAGGATAAATTCTTAAATTTGTTTACTTACAATATAGAGTACAAATAACTAATAGTTTGAGCTTTTTAAGTATATAATAAAGGTTATATATTTGATTATACGAGTATAATAATACATGTACACTTTGTTTGATAAGGATGAAATGATGAAGAAACTTAAGAAATATAAGGAAGTTAAAAACCTTTTTTTATTAGGTTCAGAAGAAGAAATGAATGTTTTTTAAAAAAAGTAGGTGAGACTATTAATACATGTATGCTATGTTTAGTAAACACAACATGATAAAGAAACATGCAAAAAGAAGGGAAGTTATAAACTTCATTTAGTGCATAAGAAATGATGAAAAAGATTTTAAAAAATAGGTGGGACTAAAGCAATAAATAAATAAATAAATATATATATATATCATGAGCATGCAAAGGGATAGCAAAACAAGGGAAGGAAAAACATGATTTTACATACTGCTTTCACTTTATGACTTAATTTCTAGTCACTAATATGTCTAGCTATGTGTGAATCACACATTGTCATCCACATATATATATATATATATATACTTTGTTTGATAAGAATAAAACAGGAAAGAAACATGCGACAAATAAGATAACTTAATTTTTTTTTAAAATAATTAGGAAATGAAAAATATTTTAAAAAGTACGTGGGACTAAAGCACTAAGTGTGTGCCTTATCCTATATTATATTTTGATATTTTCGTCTACTAATTATCCCTTATATATATATATATATCAATAATATAATATAGGATAACAAATACAAATAAAGTATCTATTCTGTCAATAATATTTAATTACTCATTTTGTTATTATTTTTATAAAAAAAAAACCTTTTTTCTTACTAGTTTCATTAAGTTAAATAGCTTTTAGGTTCAAAATGCATTGGAGGATAACAATAGTTTCTATCTATTTTTCTATTTCTTTTTCACCGATTATATATATATATATTATGAAAAAATAACCCTATTTAACTTACATAACTTTACTATAAACATTAAAATTATAATTTTTAAAACTATTAAATGTAATTTTTTATGTTTCAAATTTTAAATTTGATACTACTAATAAACTAGTAATTGTATCATAAAAAATGAGTAATTATTTATCAATTTGTTTATACATTTTTTTTAATAAAAATTAAAAATACGACAATAATTTTTAAACGCAAAAGCTTGTATATATTATTTCAAACTCTATTATTAGACTTAAAAAATCAATTAGTCTATGCAATTGATAATAACAAAGTTTCTCTTTATCATACTGCATAATTTAATTTTACATGTTTATATAAAAAAAAACTTAAGATAACTCTAATAAGTATATTGCAAACTTTCATATAATATTTTACATCTCTTATTTTTTTATTTATTTACCCTATATGAATTAGCTTATTTTTTAAAATTAAAATAAAAAATAATAAGATATGTCTAGTGTGATAATTTAAAGAGAAAGAGTACCATACAAAAAATCACAGGTTTGGAAAATCTGTCACCACTAATTGCAACACAAAAAGTCTTTATATAAATAAATAAGTTGGGAAGGCAAAAAAGAATTTGATACCAAACAAGATTCCCAAATTCACAGAAACTGTGACCAAACTGCCTAGCTTTATCACAAACCCAAAACAACGCGTTCCCAACCCTAATCAACTTTTCCGTTCCGATCTTCTCCAGGTCCCTTCTTTCTCTCTTTAGTTTTCTCCTTTCATCGATTTTTCATCCAAAGTTTCTATTTTTATCTTGTTTCCCCAAAATCTCTTGGAACAGCATCCCCCCTTCCCCCATTTTTTTTTGTCTTGTAGTGAAAAATCTGAGAATCGGTCTAGTTTTTCACTTTGATTGATTTTCTAGCTCCTAGATCTAACGAATTTGGTGAGGTTCGGTCGATTTATTAATTTGTTTCGGATTTTTTTTTATAGTTTTGGTGGAAAATAGAAATGACTTTTTTTTCCCCTTGAAAAAAAGTATTTGTATGGCTATTTCCTCCAGGTGTGGTGAGGGAGTGAAGGATAGGTTTTGGTTGAATTTTTTACCCTTCTTGTGCGGGGAAAGAAGAAGGGGGTCAGTTTATTTATTGTAACCGAAATTGTAGAATTTTGATTTGTCATAGGTTTTGTTGATATCTTCTACATTTGCTTTTGTATGGAAAGTATAGTTAGGTGGCTATTAACTTCTGATTCCCTTACGGGTTTTCAAGATGATAGATAAAGGAACATAAGTGAAAATTTCTGATCTCCGAATTTTCTTTCTTTAATTTTAGGTACTTTTTTGACTTTGTCTAAGCTATCTATGAATAGGTTATTTAGGATTAGTTGTTCAAACTTCTATCATATACCTTGTTACTATTTCAAATTTAAAGCAAACGGGATACCAATCATGTTAATGGATAATGGATTAATTGCATAGAGAGGAGGAGGAAATGATGTTTGGAGTGACTAATGGACGGTAGTTATTTGACATTGACATAATAAATAACATGTATTGAACTGCTTCTTGTATGACTGATAATTGATTTTGTATGGTTTTTATTCAACAATATTGTATCTTACTTTCTGATTCTACTTGTTGCAGTATTAGTTCTAAATGAGTCGTCCACAAGATGCAAAGCGATCATTCTTCCCTTTTGGAAATCCTTTTAGGATGATATCACCTAAAGGCGATAAAATTTCTCCACAGCTGTTGTTAGTATTACATGCTTTTGAAGCAACTTTGGAAGAGAGGCTGAAAAAGCTTATTCCCAAGAGCAAGGATGAGATCCTCAGCTTGTCTTGGATGACTTTGGCTATGCAGGTGCTATGTGAGAGTCATAATGACATTAAAACCCTCATCACAGAGCTTGAGCTGCCTGTTTGTGATTGGGATGAGAAATGGATTGATGTGTACTTCGACATTAGTGTGAAGTTGCTAGATATATGCAATGCATTTAGCTCTGAATTATCACGTCTGAACCAGGGTCATCTTTTACTTCAGTGTGCGTTGCACAATTTAGGATCTTCCTCTTCAGAGCAGTATGTTCGGGCATGTTCTTCACTTGATGGTTGGAAGCAGCATATTGGTTCTGGAAACCCTAGGATTGAGAAATGTGGCAGCATTTTGGATAATCTTCTGGGATCACTTGATCTTCCAAAGGTTAAAAAGTCAGCTAAAGGGAAGGTTTTGATGCAAGCTATGTATGGAGTAAAGGTGCAGACAGTATTTGTATGCAGTGTGGTTGCTACGGCTTTTTCAGGCTCTATGAAAAATTTGTCAGTTTTGGACGTTGCTGACATATATTCTTGGGCATCAACCTTTAAAGGGTTGCAAAATCTTGTAAATGAGGAAATTAGAGTTAGATTTTCAAGTGGGGGATTTACTTTATTGAATGAGTTAGAAGCAGTTAATTCCTCTGTGAAGGAATTATCTCCAATTATCCAGGGTGTTGTAGATAACATTGAGACAGAATCACTTGTGAAGATTGTCGGGGAATTAGGCCGAGCGACAGAGAAGCTTTCACATGGTTTGGATCTTCTCACAAAGGAAGTTGATAGCTTTTTCCAAGTGGTCTTGACTGGTCGTGATGCCTTGCTATCTAATCTGAGGCCAGGTGCAACTTCCATTGACAGCATCATAGAGGGTAACAGAGATGCACAAATATCATAGAGGCTAGGTATTGGGTTTTATGTTTTATGGTTGATGGTTTTCAATCATGTTTGGCTTATTGTATACTAGCTAGAATGAGTAATAGGTTATATGATAGCATTATTGTTCTGAAATGTATATTTGTGATTGTAATATTACATGATGAATATAAATCTATTGAAATGTTTCGTGTTCTCACTGGAGTTTGTAGTTTGTGGCCCTGTAATTCTTTCCATTCCTTTGTTGATGAAATCTCTGCTATTTTGGGAGGGGATGTTTTTCATGAACTTAAAATATGGTTGTTGTTGTTGTTTATTTATTTATTTATTTGGAGCGGTGAAGGGGAATTAAACTTCTCCCACTGGTTTGAACTAGTCTTTTTTTTCTGGATTTGGATGGATTTTTGCCCTGAAACTTGATAAACAGATTATATTGGGGCAATGGAATTTGTTTTGTTTTTTTAATTTTTAGTGCATGGAGTATATAGTCTGTAGCGTGTTAGTATACATGCAAACTTTGATTCAATTTCTTTAAATATCATAGAAAAGGATTGAAGGATACATATGAAGAAGTTTCAGTTGGTTATGAGGCGCTGACCCTCTGTTCTTGAGCATGGATTAACTAGTTGGTGAGCTATATGTACGTTGTACATGCAACTTACTGTTTATTGGCATGGCTCAAGCACTTTCGTTAACTCTCCCCATGGTCTCTACTTATTTGTGTGTCCACTTTCTTTCAACTTCTCTAGGTTGTTCATGACTTAATTGTTATTATTTTATGATGTGGTATATCCCTGTTACATTGTGCTTCTTAACAGTTTTGATCGAATATCATAAGACACAGCGCATTGTTAAGTTTACCAGGTTACTTAGCATATTGCATGTGTTTTTCATCTGATATTGTGAAACGCACAGACCATTTGCAACTTGCAACTCCTTGGTATCAAGGTGCCATGTCTGGTTCTGATCTCCTGTCAGCTCAGCTCACAGAACTAATTAGGGCTTGTGCTGTTTTTGACAATTTTTGATCTTTTCTTGACTTTAGTTATACTTGAATCTTTGCACTTATATTATTTTTAGATGCGAACTCATGGTTCAGAATGTACATTTATCTTGCTCAAGTATCCAATCTGTTGCAAAGCATAATTTGTGGTGGAAGCAAAACATCATATTTTATTTTCACACACATTGTTTTCTTTATTTGCTCCTGCCTTGAATTTTGCTAGTTTACTCGTTGCTTGGTAGTATTCTCTGGGGAGTAAAATAACATGTTCCTAAAAGATTTGTGACTGGTCACATAGTTTTGACGAATTAAATTTACTTTGTCCATGAAAATTTATAAGTCAATAACAAATTCTTTTATCAAACATAAGACAAAAATATTTATTGACAACCAAATAGCAATTGTAATTTCAAAGAATTCAATGTATAATAAGAAGACTAAACTCTTTGACATCAAGCTTTACTTAAGAAAGATGCAGCAAAATAGAGATTTTGTTTACTGCAAGTTAATTAATCAATTAGCATATTTGTTATTTGGTTTAATTCTTAAATTTGTTTGCTTACAATATTTAGTACAAGTAACTGTTAGTTTGAGCTTTTTAAGAATACGATATTATGGATGAGAATAAGTAGTTTATGATCTAATTAATTTGTTTAAATTTTATCTTAATCTGACATTTTAAATAAATAATGTTAGGTTAAGACTTTTAAGACCGTTAGGTCTTATAAGTTAATCTATTTATGCAATATAATATAATATAATAAAAAGTTTAATTCATATGTTACATTATTAATAATATAATTAAATAAATAAATTTATTAACACAATTTAAATTATTTATATTGTTGAGTCTGCATTATTTTTGTCGGCACTGTAGGCGTCATTAGGACTGCCTCAAAGGATTTTGGTCTGTAATGAATAAAAAAAAGTATGCAGCATTCTTATAGTATATTGTATCTTAATTTATTTATTTTTATTCTTAAACCATTTAAAACTAAATTTTAAAAGTAAATCACTTTTTTTTACCATAAATTAAAAGAAAATCATTGACCTATTTAAAATTAAGTGTGTTGTCTTATTTAATTTTATTAATATAAAAAGATTTTTTAAATAGGTTAATAAGTTAAATTTGACTTTTAAAAAGGTCACACTAAGTCTATAAAATAAAATCAATAATAAATAATGTCAAATTTAAACTTTAATTTTAGTGCATGTTTGGATTAGATTTTCAAACGTGATTTTACACTCTCTCTCCACATTGAATATGAATTTTACTTGGAAGTAAAATTTTTTTGTTTCAACTAAACGTGAAAATTCACGTTAGAATTGAAACTCAAACATGCATTTATAAAATATGTTAGCTTTATATCTTTAAAGTTTAACCTAATATGATTTATTTTTACTCCTATACAATAGAGATTATATGTTTAACTATATGAGTAGAGCATTATGTTAATAATTTTTTTGCAAGGACAAAATGGTGAAGGAAAGATAAGGGAAGTAAAAAGCTTATAATTATATTTTAATTGTGTGATTAAATGTTTATTTCTTAAATTTGTTTACTTAGAATGTGTAGTACAAGTGACAAATAATTTGAACATTTTGAGTATATGATAAAGATTATATATTTGACTATATGGGTAGAGCACTACATGTACACTTTGTTTGGTAAGTATGAAATGGTGAAAGTTAAAATCTTCATTTGATGCAAAAGAAATGATTAAGTTTCCAAAAAGTAAGTGGGACTAGAACAATATGTGTATGCTTTATTTAGTAAACACAAAATGGTGAAGAGACATGCGAAAGAAAAGAGAAGTTAAAAACTTTATTTGTTTGGTGCAGAAGAAATAGTAAAGACATTTCTAAAAAGTAGGTGGGATTAAATCATTACATGTACCATTATTTGGTAAGGAACGAAATATGGTGAAGAATTGCACGAGAGAAAGGAAGTTGAATATTATTTGGTACAAAAGAAATGATTAAATTTTTAAAAAACAGGTGAAACTACAACACTACATATACGCACTTTGTTGGTGAGCATGAAATGGTGAAGGAATGCATGAAAAAGAAAGGAATTTAAAAACTTCCTTCGCTTGGTGCAAAAGTAATGAAGTTGTTTTTAAAATATAGATGGAATTAGACCACTACATGCATGCTTTGCTTGATAAACACAAGATGGTGAAGAAACGCATAAAAAAAAAGTTAAAAACTTCCTTCATTTAGTGTGGAAGAAATGATGAAATTTTTAAAAAACATGTGAGACTAGAGCATGTCGTGTACGTTTTGTTTGGTAAACACAAAATGGTGAATGAACACGTGGAAAACATTAGAAGTTAAAAACTTCCTTCATTTGATGCATAGAAGGTGGTGGGAAACTTTTTTGAAAGCATATGAGACTAGAGTGTTACATGCAAGTTTTGTTTGGTAAACATGAAATGGTGAAGAAATGTGAGAAAGAGAAAGGAAGTTAATTACTTCCTTCTTTAGGTGTGGAAAAAATGATGAAGAATATTTTAAACTAGTAGGTGAGATTATAGCACTACATGTATCCTTTATTTAGTAAACACAAAATGGTGAGGGTGGATGAAGTTAAAAACCTCCTTTGTTTGGCATGGGATGAAGGACTTATAGGGATGGCAAAAATGTATTTGCGGGTAAAATCCGCTACGGATAATAAATGGATAAGTTAATTAAGTACATGCGGATAATGGAGACGGATAATTTTTTACTCGTTTATAAACGGGGCGGGGCGGGTATGATGATATCCATACCCATGGATACCTGTTTAATAATATTTTTTAAATATTTTAATTATCCTTGTATTACATAACCCTAAAACTACACTCTCTCATCTTATTTTCTTACAAAAGTGAGGCTGATGAAGTTACCAACATGTGTTAAGCATGTTATAGAATTATGTTGAATGTAATTTGATTAATTTTTTAGCTTTGATTGAACCAATAAGATTTATGTATTTTAAGTTGTTTACTTTCGTTTGAAATTATGAAATTGAATTATTGTAGCTTTGTGATGAGACTTTAACTTACTTATGAGATTGATGTATTTTAAGTTATTGATTATCTTGCATTTTTATTATTATTTCAACAAAATTAACGTTAAATACAAGTTCAAAATTAATATTGAATTTTTATTTTTAATATTTCAATGACATTAAATATAAACTTAAAATTATTTGTAATATAATTTTTTTAATTTCTTAAAAAATTTATAAATATCCATGGATATCCAAACTTCCTTCATTTAGTGTGGAAGAAATGATGAAATTTTTAAAAAACATGTGAGACTAGAGCATGTCGTGTACGTTTTGTTTGGTAAACACAAAATGGTGAATGAACACGTGGAAAACATTAGAAGTTAAAAACTTCCTTCATTTGATGCATAGAAGGTGGTGGGAAACTTTTTTGAAAGCATATGAGACTAGAGTGTTACATGCAAGTTTTGTTTGGTAAACATGAAATGGTGAAGAAATGTGAGAAAGAGAAAGGAAGTTAATTACTTCCTTCTTTAGGTGTGGAAAAAATGATGAAGAATATTTTAAACTAGTAGGTGAGATTATAGCACTACATGTATCCTTTATTTAGTAAACACAAAATGGTGAGGGTGGATGAAGTTAAAAACCTCCTTTGTTTGGCATGGGATGAAGGACTTATAGGGATGGCAAAAATGTATTTGCGGGTAAAATCCGCTACGGATAATAAATGGATAAGTTAATTAAGTACATGCGGATAATGGAGACGGATAATTTTTTACTCGTTTATAAACGGGGCGGGGCGGGTATGATGATATCCATACCCATGGATACCTGTTTAATAATATTTTTTAAATATTTTAATTATCCTTGTATTACATAACCCTAAAACTACACTCTCTCATCTTATTTTCTTACAAAAGTGAGGCTGATGAAGTTACCAACATGTGTTAAGCATGTTATAGAATTATGTTGAATGTAATTTGATTAATTTTTTAGCTTTGATTGAACCAATAAGATTTATGTATTTTAAGTTGTTTACTTTCGTTTGAAATTATGAAATTGAATTATTGTAGCTTTGTGATGAGACTTTAACTTACTTATGAGATTGATGTATTTTAAGTTATTGATTATCTTGCATTTTTATTATTATTTCAACAAAATTAACGTTAAATACAAGTTCAAAATTAATATTGAATTTTTATTTTTAATATTTTAATGACATTAAATATAAACTTAAAATTATTTGTAATATAATTTTTTTAATTTCTTAAAACATTTATAAATATCCATGGATACCCATAGATATCCGTGAGTATTCAATAAATTCATGGATACCCGCATGGATATGGGGTGGGTATGAGGCCAATTTTCATCAAGCGAGATGGGGGCGAGTTTACTATTACCCGCTCCCATGGGGCTCCATTGCCATTCTCAGGGACTTATCACAACTAAGTCACGAGATAGTTGCCCCCACTAAGTTTCTAATTTTTGTTAACATATAATATTTTTTTATTCTCATTTTTATTTTCTAATAATATATATGAAAATATTATAAAGAAGTTAAGTTACTAGATTATAAAATAGTAATATATATATACTAACTTTTCAATTTTTTGGTTAACATTTTATGCTCACTCTTTTAAATAATATTATAGTATTTTAAAAAGAAAACAAAACAACTTTTTATTGTAAATGCATTTTTAAAATTAGGAGAATTAGTGATCTTTCTATGAAACTTGTAAAAAATAAGAAAACATGTTATATATTAGTTGGTGTATTTACTTTTAGAATTAACTTTGATATTACTTGTGACAATTACACCGATTAAAAAAAATTTCTCAATTGTGAATATCATTAAGGTCAGTTGTGATATTATACATGAGATGAAATTTTAAGTGATTGTCTATTTTGTTTTTTAACTGAAGTATACTCATATCATTTCATTATTAATCAAGTGCTCAATGTAAGGAAGAACATGATTAAAGGTACAAAGACTAGGCAAGGATAGAATCACCTTAGCAAGCTCACTAGCAACACAATTTGCTTGTCTCTTAACAAAATCAATATCATAGGTTGGCTTGTGGGATAAAAAGATTTTGCAATCTCCTACTATGGCTGCTAGCTTGGATATATCAATAACTGAACATCTTATTTTATCTACCACTAAGTTGCAATCCAATTCAAATATTACATTGTTCATGCCTAAAGAGGCAACAAATTGGATTGCTAATAAAATTTCCCACATCTCACTTTCTTGAAAATTTATTCAAGGTTGACACTAATTAGATCTTGTAGCAACAATGTAACCTTCGTCATCACGAATACCAAAATTGCTACAAGTGCATTTTTGCTCTTGAAAAAAACTAGCATCGATGTTATATTTGAGTATACTTGGTGCAAGTGATGTTCACTGTTCGATAAAGTTGTTGCTATGAATCGGTCTTTTGCATCCAATTGCACATTGAGCTTTATTCCATTCCTAGAAAAATTCACCCCCACATTGAACAACAAAAGAATTTGATCAAGCTTTATAATCCAAAGCTATCATTTTGTCTCTACCACAAGCTCTAAATCATCATAGTTGAATGTTACTATTGTTGTTGGCTCAAATCTTGAAAGAGAGTGACAATTAACTAAGGAAGAAAATCAATTGTATTGATAAGACCATCAATCTTGTATTTTAGTTGGAGATGCTCCCATCAACCCAAGTTTACATGAAAATTAAAAAATGTATAGAGAGACGACTCAACAAACTTCACATGGTTGACAAGTAATGGAGCAGTCAACTCCACACAATTTGAAACTTATGTATAGAAAGACACTCTACACATCTCCACAATAACGTCTTTAAGTAAGGAAAAACATGAAGTTTCTAGATAATTGACAATCACCATTAAAAATTATCTCATTATAATTACTAAATTTACACATGATTAAGCCATAAGCACTTTTCACAATACAAATTTTATTTATGGTAGAAGCTCAAATTTTAACATCTTTCTCCGTGGATATCAATATAGGAATTTTAAAATTCTCTTGCATATCATGAAAAGTAAACAACTAATTAATAAGGCTAAAATTCCAACAATCACTTATAAAATTAATAAGATTTCAAGTGATTATTTAGTTACTTATATAGAAGAAAAGTAGAATACTTATGATGTATATTTGTATTTATAAAGTTTTTATGTTAATATTACAAATTTACGGATATAAAATTATATTCACTACTTTAAATTTATGGATTATATATACACAATGTTTGTTAAGCACAAAATGAAAAAAAAAAAAGAAAGGAAATTAAAGACTTGTTTCATTTGATGCAAAACAGATGGAGAAGTTGGGAACTACGTTAATAAATTTTCACACTTAATGGAAAGAAATATGTGAAACTTTACTTTTTTTTCTTACATAAATATTTTTAGATTTACTATTTTTTTTCATATTATTATAACATAATCAATTATATGCAATCACAAAATAGTGGAAAAACTGTGTGCACTAAAAGAGAATATTTCATCTATAATTAATATAAATATAACAAAAATATAAATGATTTTTTTAAAATTTTTGAAAATAAAAAATAATGACTTATGTCTAGTGTGATAATCTAAAGAGAAAGAGCAGAATACAAAAAATCAGGAGGTTGGAAAATTTGTGAGAAGTTGTAGGTAGGTCAACACAAAAAGTCTTTATCTTTATTGTTTAAAAAATAAATAAGTTGGGAAGGCACCAACCATGTGATACCACGTTTTCCAGGTACACAGAATCTGTGGCCAAAGGCGGTAGCTTTATCATCATCTCCTTCATAAGTTCACAAATATTCCATTCATCCACCCAAAGGAATAACGCCCTCCCAACCCTTATCAACTTTTCCGATCCGATCTTCTCCAGGTCCCTTCTTTCACTCTTTCATACTCTCTTTTCATCAATTGTTCAACCAAAGTTTCCATTTTTATTTTGTTTCCTCAAACTCTCTTGGAACAGCATCCCCCTTTTCCCATTTTTTTTGTCTTTTAGTGAAAAATCTGATCGGACAAGTTTTTTTTTGCTTTGATTGGTTTTCTTGTTCCTAGATCTAACGAATTTGGTGAGGTGCAGACGATTTATTCATTTGTTTAATTTGTTTTTGATTTTGATTTTGATTTTATATATATATATATATATATAATGATAATTGTGTTTTGATGGAAAATAGAAATGATGTTTTTCCCTTGAAAAGTAGTATTTATATGGCTATTTCCTGCAGGTGTGGTGAGGGAGTGAAGGGTAGATTTTGGTTGAATTTTTTACCCTTCTTGTTCGGGGAAGAGAAGAAGGGGGTGAATTTTTTTATTGTGAGAGAAATTCTAGAATTTGGATTGGTCATAGGTTTTGTTGATATCTTTTACATTTGCTTTTGTATGGAAAGTATAGTTAGGTGGCTATTAATTTCTGATTCCATTACGGCTTTTCAAGACGATAAAAAAAGGAATATAAGTGAAGATTTCTGATCTCAGAATTTTGTTTCTTTAATTTTAGGTACTTTTGACTTTGTCTAAGCTATCTATGAATAGGTTATTTAGGTTTAGTTGATCAAACTTCTCTCATACCTTGTTACAGTTTCAAATTTAAAGCGAATGGGATGATTATCATAATAGTGGATAATGGATAATGGATTAATTATAGAGAAGAGGAGGAAATGGTGTTTGGAGTGGCTAATGGAGGGTAGTTATTTGACATTGACATAATAAATAAAGTGTGTTGAACCGCATCTTGTGTGACTGATAATTGATTTTGTATGGTTTTTATTCATCAATATTGTATCTTAGTTTCTGATTCTGCTTGTTGCAGTATAAGTTCCAAATGAGTCGTCCACAAGATGCAAAGCGACCATTCTTCCCTTTTGGAAATCCTTTTAGGATGATATCGCCTAAAGGTGATAAAATTACTCCACAGCTGTTGTCAGTATTACATGATTTTGAAGCAGCTTTGGAAGAGAGGCTGAAAAAGCTTATTCCCAAGAGCAAGGATGAGATCCTCAGCTTGTCTTGGATGACTTTGGCTATGCAGGTGCTTTGTGAGAGTCATAATCACATTAAAACCCTCATCACAGAGCTTGAGCTGCCTGTGAATGATTGGGATGAGAAATGGATAGATGTCTACTTGGACATTAGTGTGAAGTTGCTAGATGTATGCGTTGCATTTAGCTCTGAATTATCACGTCTGAACCAGGGTCATCTTTTACTTCAGTGTGCCTTGCACAATCTAGGATCTTCCTCTTCAGAGCAGTATATTCGGGCATGTTCTTCACTTGATGGATGGAAACAGCATATTGGTTCTGGAAACCCCAGGATTGAGAAATGTGGCAGCATTTTGGATGATCTTCTGGGGTCACTTGATCTTCCAAAGGTTAAAAAGTCAGCTAAAGGTAAGGTTTTGATGCAAGCTATGTATGGAGTAAAGGTGCAGACAGTATTTGTATGCAGTGTGTTTGCTGTGGCTTTTTCAGGCTCTACAAAGAAGTTGTCAGTTTTGGATGTGGCTGATGTATATTCTTGGGCTTCAACCTTTAAAGGGTTGCAAAATCTTGTAAATGAGGAAATTAGAGTTAGATTTTCAAGTGGGGGATTTACTGTATTGAATGAGTTAGAAGCAGTTAATTCCTCTGTGAAGGAATTAAATCCTATTATCCAGGGTGTAGTAGATACTGTTGAGACAGAATCACTTGTGAGAATTGTCAGGGAATTAGGAAGAGCAGCAGAGAAGCTTTCACAAGGACTAGATCTTCTTACAAAGGAAGTCGATAGCTTTTTCCAAGTGGTCTTGACTGGTCGTGATGCCTTGCTATCTAATCTGAGGCCAGGAGCAACTGTCATTGACAGCATTGTAGGGAGTAACAGAGATGCACAAATAGTCAATTGAATGTGTTGCAACCAAACAACTCTGGTACATACTGAAGAATCTCAGTATTGGGTTTTATGTTTTATTGTTGATGGTTTTCAATCATGTTGGGTTTATTGTATTCAAACTGGAATGAGTAATAGGTTATATGATAGCATTAGTGTTCTGAAATGTATATCTGTGATGTTCTGTATAATGTTACATGATGAATATAAATATATAAAAGCTTTTCTTGTGCTTGCAGATGTTTGTAATTTGTGGCCCTGTAATTCTTTCCATTCATATGTTTATGAAATCTGTGTCTTCTCCATATTGGGAGGGAATGTCTATCATGAACCTTAGAATGTGGTTGCTGATTTTGTTTTTTGTTTTTTATTTGGAGGGGTGTAGGGGATTGAAATTCTGTAGTGGGTTGAACTAGTGTTTTTGTCTGGATTGGGAAGGATTTTTGCCCTGAAACTTTATAAATAGATTTTATTGGGGCAATTGATTTTTTTATTTTTATTTTTTATTGCATGGAATATAATCTCTTGCATGTTAGTATTAATTCAAAATTTGATTCAATTTCTTTTCAATGTCAAAGAAAAGGAATGAGGGATACATATGAAGAAGTCTCAGATTCAGTTATAAGGCTTTGACTCAGTTCTTGAACATGGATTTACCATTGGGTGGCCTGTATGTACATTGGATATGCAACTTACTGTTTATAGGCTTGGTTAAAGCACTTTCATTAACTCTCTCCTTGGCTCCCCTTGGTATCTTCTTATTTGTGTCCACCTTCTTTCGACTTCTTTAGGTTATTCAAGACTTAATTGTTATTATTTTATGATGTGGTATATCTCTCTTGCAATGCATTTCTTAACAATTTTGATTGAATATCATATGATTCAGCGCATTGTTACATGTTGCATGTTACTAAGCATATTGCACGTGTTTATCATCTGATATTGTGAAACTCACAGACCAGTTGCAACTCCTTGGTATCAAGGTGCCACGTCTGGTTCTGAATTCTGATCTCTTGTTACCTCAGCTCACAGAACTTGCAATTGAGTGTTAGTTTGGCAGTAATTAGGGCATATGCTGCCTTGCATTCCTTTTTGAGATCTGTGAAAACTGAGTTGCTTTCAAGATCTAAAAACTGAAGTGAATTTTTGGTGGAGTACACTACACACTCAATTTATGTATCAACTCTGAGCTGAAGTGCTAGAGCTTTGCCAGCTCTGTTGAAGGGATCAGAGACCAAATTCACTGAGGTAGATTATCTGTTTCGTCTCCCTCATTAAGCCCCTCAGAATCTGAGTGGTAAAGAAACCAAAGATGTGATGCTCTTTACTCAAATGATATAATGTTCTGAGATGAGACGAGATGAGAGAGCTCTGCTAGGACTGTTGAAGAAGCAGAGACCAAGCCAAGCTTTGACAAGATGATGATCTACATGGGTCACATTAATGGAGACTAAGCAAGTTATGTTCTCCTAATTGTCTCTCTATACTCAAACAATTAGCATGGTATTGTTTTTGACAATTTTAGATCTTTTCTTGACTTTAGTTATACTTGAATCTTTGCACTTAGATTAGTATCAGATCTTTTGCAAAGAATCATTTGTGGGGAAGCAAAATATCTTCTTGTTTTCACACATTGTTTATATTTATTTGCTCCTGCCTTGAATTTTTCAAGTTTACTCCTTGCATGGCAGCATTTTCTGGTGAGTAAACTAAATGTTCCTCAAAGATTTGTGATTGGTCACATAATTTTTAATGAAAATTACTGTCCCTTAAAAGTTACAGGTCAATCAGAAATATTTATTAAACATAAGACAAAAATATTTATTGACAACTAAGTAGCAATTGTAATTTCAAAGAATTCAGTGTATCATGGGAAGACTAAACATTTATCATATCATGCTTTACTTCTTAAGAAAGATGCAGCAAAATGGAGAATTTGTTTGCTGCATGTTAAAAAATCAATTAGCATATTTGTTTACAAAACCACTTATTGTTAATCAGTCTGCATTACGGTTTTTTTTTTTTTAGTTTTTTAATTATTTTTTCTCTAGTGATTAAGTGTCGATTTGAATACAAATTTAGAAGAGTTTTTAAAACTCTCTCTATTGAAAATAAATTTTTTTATTACAGAAATTCTCAAAAATAATTCTAAGCTTGTATCCAATCAAAATAACTATTCCAACACTCAAAGGAGCAAGTTAGTTTGTTATCCATGGTTATTGAAATCTTGGTAATGCAATTGTTTTCTATTTTTATTTTAAATATTATAAATATGTTTTTCCTAAAATATTAGCATTTTCTTCTCTTTTGCTTCCTTGTTTTAATTTCTCTTTCTAGCATAAATTCAACGAGAATGTGGTGTTGCGTGTCGTAAAAAAACTGTAAGCTATCACGTACATTTTTTTTCCGTGTCAGATGTCAAAATTGTACTTATGTAATGGCTGTAAAACACTAATGGGTAAATACAACATAAAAGAGGGATTAGCGTTTATCCATGTATCTACACAAAGGTTTTTTCTCTCAGTTTTAACTCTTGTTTTATTAATATTTTTAAGATGTGTTAATATAAAAAAGTTTTAATTCTTTTTCTCTCATTTCCAACTTCTAAATAAAATGTAAAAAGGTTAAGCCCCCCCACTTGTTTTAAGACGTAACGACGAAGGTTAACCCACCCACTTGGCAAGACCTTGAGAGCCGCCATCTAGGAAATTCTACTTCTACTCGTTTTCAAATTCAATGCTCAACTCTTGGGACCAAACACCAGACAAACGAAGTCGAAGACTGACTAGGAAACAAACACGAGAATAAATCCAATTTAACACCAATTGAAGATTACACGTTTTGGCTCCAACTTTGGCTGTACATAATACTAGCATATTCCAATGTAATATCTACGAAACATGCATAAGGTTACTTCAAAAGGTTGGTTCGTGTTCCGCTATGTTGACTAATTAAACATAGATGATCTAAATCATTATTATATAATTACGCGTTATGTTTATATACTGCAAAATACAAGGGTGAAAATTCCTTAATTCCTTGGTCGTTTCTTATGGGCGCCAATTGTTAATTTGGATAATAGCAGTTCACATGGAAATAGGTATTTATAGGCAATTTTTTTAATTTTCTCAGTAATGAAGCATTTGACATGTCACTAGAAAATTCTGATGACCTGGTAAGATGCTACTATATTATATAACATTTCCTTTTCGTACGTACACATGATCTTTTTATACCACTTGTAGTTGTTGGTTGGTCTAATTCCAAACAAGTTGACTTGAACTTTTTGATGGGTCATATAATTCTTAAAAAGAGAGAGAGAGAGGAAAATTTGAGCACATTTTGTTTAGTAATTTTAATTACTATTGCTAAACATAATTATAAAGGATCGCGTTTAAACAATAAAAACTGTGTTTGTTAATATAAAAGAAAAAAATTTGTATAATTGTACGTTTTATTTATAAATATGATAGACCTTAATTATTAGAGCAAAAAAACAATCGACCATTAAAAGGATCTCAACTAGAAAACATAAAAAGATAAGGAGAAAAGGAAATTCCACAGTTAGAGTAATGCTTAAGAAATAAAATACAGACGGAAAGAAAAGGAAGAAAAAAAGAAGAAGCAATAAATGGCTGTTATAATCTTACTACAGACTTGTAAGCAAAAGTTACACACACTTGCGTTAAACTTATTGGACAGTTGTATATGCGTTTAAATGTAATAATTAATGAGTGTACACTAGATTTTTAAATATATGTTTTAAATATCTTAAATTAAAATAAGAATATACTTTAAACCATTATTAATAATCATCTTTAAAAAAATCTTTCCTCTCAACTTTATTTAATAAAACTTAATTTAATTTTACTTAAACAAATAACTTATTATTAGAAATAGAAAAGAAAGATATGTATAATTATATAAAAAATTAAAGACTCAAATATAGTTTTGTCTGTATTTTTTTTTTTCATTCTAACATTTTATAATGTTTTAAAAATAGTCTTTGTCACCAATTTTTGTTAAAAAAGTATTATGTGGTAAATAAAATACATACTTTATTTGTTATATTTCACTTTATCATTGTTATTAGGAAGGTAAATTGATTTTAATTTTTTAAGACAAAATTTTGAAATATATTTCATTATTGTTATTTCATCATACTCTTCACACACATTTTCTTCAGACTATGGAACATTGTGTCCTAACTATTATTGATGACTAAGTTGGACCATTGACCTCCCTTCTTTGATGAGATGACCCACCCATTGCTACTACAATGGTCGTAATAGGTGACAATGGTTTTGAGCTAACTGACATAATTTTTCTTGGTCATAGAGGAGACAACATTGATGGTAACAGTAGTAGAGTGGTGGACATCTTGTGACGCATGAGCTCTTGCACGATGAGATTGTAGCCAAGCGTGAGAAGTTACTTCTTGTTGGGAGATTGGGGTTTGGATTGAGAGGTTTAGAATTTCCAATGTCATTTGAATTAGAGAAAACAAGTACAATCACGAAGGTGAGGGTTTGCCTGTGGTGAAGAGAAGTGTATTTTAAAATTTTGTCTAAAAAATGTTAAAAAAATCAATTTATCTATGTAGTGATAATTGTGAAGTGAAATATAATAAATATAATATATATTCCATTCGACAAGTAGAAATTTTTTTTCTTCACAATAGTTGTTTATAAAGACTATTTTTGAAACATTATAAAATATTGAAATGAAAGAATAACATAAAATTTTATAGAAACTAATTGTGTTTGGTAGATAGGAAATAAATAGGTGAAAATAAAACGAAAAAAATAGATAAGAGAGAAATAGATGAGTAGATATAAATAAGAAATAAAATAAAAATTTAGTTATTTAGTTGAAGAGAAATATATGAGAAGATATATAAGAAAGAGAATAAAGAAAAGGGAGAGAGACACACAACTTTTTAATTTCTCACCTTATTTTTTATCTATCAAACTTCTCAATTTATTTCTACTATCTTATTTTCATTCTCAATTTCTTATTTCTCATCCATTTCATCTTAACCAAACCAATCCTAAAAAAGAAAAATGATAAATTATAAGGATAAAAATTATATTTAAATCAAAATTAAATTTCATTTTTTTAAATTAAAGAATAACAAATATTTTTCAATAAAATATAAATTAAAATTATGACATTAATTTAACATAAAAATAGATACTTTTAATTTCACATGCATGTTTTTTAATCAACAAGTAATATGTTGGTAGATTGCGAAAGTCTGAACCACCAGCCAATGAAAAATAAAATTTGATTTTACGAATTTTTTTTATTTTCTTCGTTCACGAACAATTTTCGACATCTACCTTGAATATCTGCTTAAAATATATTTAATTGAAAAATACACATTTGGATGCATAAAAAAAATTATGAGTGTATTTTTTTTTTTCAATTCCAATTGAATTAAACTTGACTTTCAAACACAACATTCTCTATCCAACATCAAAAGTTCAAAATGAGTAAAAAACATTTAGTCCAAAATCACACCGAAAATTGAGAGATAGTATGAAAGGAAAAAAAGAAAAAATCAAAGCTCCAAAAAGTGCCACATCTTCACGAGTTCACATACAGACGCTCACGCTTATGTAGGCAAGACAAAGCAAACACACACACACCTACTCTCACTCTCTCTCTTACTCTTAGTCTTACTTACATCCTCGTTTTTCTCTCTCCTACACTGTCCCCGAAAGTCTCACTCTCACCTCACCCAAACGAAATGCCCACGACTTTTACTACTCTTAAATTCAAAACACCCCACTTCACCAATTTAGCTCCTTTCTCTTAAAAATCCTTGCTTTCTTTGTTGGGTCTGTTTCATTCTTTTTTCTCTGGTTTTGGATTCCGCACCAGACATGGCTCTTGAGTCAGCTGACATCAGAGGAGTTCCGACTCATGGTGGACGCTATGTTCAGTACAATATCTATGGTAACCTCTTTGAGGTCTCTAGGAAGTATGTTCCTCCTATTCGCCCCGTGGGAAGAGGGGCATATGGTATTGTTTGGTAAGTAAAATCTGCAGTTGAGTTTCTTTTTTTTTGGCTGAATTCATTCGTTTGTGTGTTGTTTTTGTTGTTTGTGGGGGTGTTTTGGGATAAAGGGTTGCTCTTTTTTTAGCTATGTATTTTTTTTTTTTTTTGCATTTTTGGTAAAAATAAAAACTATTGTATAGTCTGATACCACCGTGTGTCCATCGTTCTTATGAATCTTCACGTGACATGTAACTGGAAAGAATTAATGAAACTCGATTATGGGTCACTTGAAATTCATCAGAACCATGGACATGTAGTAGTTCCAGACCATATAATAATTTGGAATCTTATTGGGGTTTGGAACACTTGGCTCTGAAAGCAAGGAAGTGGTATCTGATGGTGGTCAATGGCCTTTTTGTTGATTTTGGATTTGAATGTAAGGGGAAGCTCAGAATCATAGGTGATTGTGTATTTGTTGGAATAGGTTTTATCTTAGTTAGTCCATTTGGTGGTTGGCTTGTTTGTAAGCTGGTATTCTGGACTTTTGTCGCGGACTCGCGGGGTTTAGTTCAAGTTGATGTTTGGCTTGTATCTGTTACTTGTGCGAATGGGGATTGAAGTGATTTTGAAAATTTGTATTTTTTCTTCAATGCTTTTAATACGGAACTGATGTGATTCCTGAGCTGAATGTGTGCTATTGTGCTAAAATATATTCTTTGTGATCATTGTTTGAGTTTGATTGATTGGAGTAGAGTAATTGAAAGAGAATCAAGTTTCATTTTCGTGGGGTTTATTTAATCAAATCTAGTTTTTTGGGTTTAGGATTGCTGGGATACAAACAAGTCCCACATCGATAAAATAAAACAAGAAATAACAAAAAATATAGCACAAACATACTTCAATGATTGAGAGGCCTTTTGGGTGATGACCAAAAGCAAAACCGTGAGGGCTAAGGCCCAAAGCGGACAATATCTCGTCATTGTGGAGTATGTTTGTGTAATAACTTTATAAAAATAATCCTCATAAAATATCCCCTCAGACAAATACCATAAAATAACCCCATCAAGGATTTATAGGTTAACCTCAGATTATCTTGTTAAAGAGCTTAGTTTACATATTTGGCTGACACTAGTCGAGTATCATAGCCAGGCTGCTAGAATTTGGCACTTTGGTGTATTTGTTGGCACTGTAAATAACACAATCATCTGGATTTTCAGACTCATTAAACTGAAGATAATTTGAATCTTGTAGAAGGTTTATTAGAATTTGGTGTGTTAGACAATGACTTGTCTTTTCTTTTATATGTATTTACATTCTGTTACCAACAATGTGAGGGACAATGTTGTGTTTTCATTTTCCTCCAGTGCTGCTGTAAATGCAGAGACCCGTGAAGAAGTTGCCATTAAGAAGGTTGGGAATGCATTTGACAACAGAATAGATGCCATAAGGAATCTACGAGAAATTAAACTTCTTCGGCACATGGATCATGAAAATGTAATTTAAATAAACTTTTTTTTCTTGTATTCTCACATCTAAACCTTGTTTCCCTCATTTGTATTGCTTTTTTTCCCCTGTCAAATTCAGATATCAAGAGAGTGCCATTTTCCATCTGTAGCAGTAACATTATGAACTTTCCTGTTTGACTTATTATTGCCTCATATTTTTATTTCTTTGTTTCTGCCTCTTATTTTTGGGTTGTGTCTGTCACACTGCAACCATAGGAAATTTTTCCATAATTTAATTGTGATGAAGGATCTTTAATGTGTGATCCTGTTGAGCAGTTCAATTTAGGCATTTGCTTTAGAACCCATGACCATATGTATAATTTGGTAGAAGTAATTATTGATATACTTTTTTATTACGCTGTCTTTCTATAAATTCAAAAGTCTTGAAAATTACATATCGAAATATCTGTGTATTCTGGCATATTTGTTTAATTGATATCGAGATACAGGTAATGGAATATAACTTTTTTTTTTTTTTTTTTATGTAACTACATTATATCTGCTTGTGTACCTTTCTTTTTTGGCTTAATTACCCTTCTTACCGTTTTATATTTAATCTTCCTGAAAAAGTTTTCTAATTTGTATATAGTGAAAAACACGTATTTTTGTGAGTCAAAACCTATTAAGAGTTGGTATTAGTATTATGGTGTCATGAAATTGTTATCCCTGAGTTACATTACTGGATTACTAAAATCAAGTTTCATTCTTCAAAGTTGGTTGAAGTTTTTAGATGCATAAACCTCAATGCAGTAGAATATCATGTGGCATAATGCAAAATTTTGACGTATAGATGTGATTTTAATCTTTATGAACTGAACTACTTATGAATATATTACTGTACAATATTTTCTCTAGATGCATAGGTTTTTTGACCTGTTTTGCTGAAATTTAACAATTTAAGCACGCTGGTTAATATCTGGTCTTCACTATCATTTAATCATATTCATCAAACTAGAACTGGCTTTTGAATGGAGTAAATTAGATAGTAGAAAGTATAATCTTGTTGGTTTGTAAGTAGCTTTCTAATGGAATTCTTGCTCAAATTTTGTTGGAATGATTTCTTCATCTGTAAATGGATCAAACGATGGTGATTTCTCTAGAACAAGTGCTTGTCATCTTGTAGTCGGTCTCTAGATATACATTCACTTTGTTTCATGGAAGTTTCCTGATTGGATTTGGATTCTACAATCATTATTAGAGTTCTATTTGAAACAAGGCTTCTTACTTATAAGTTACTTCTCTAATGTAGGTGATAACCCTTAAAGACATTATTCGCCCACCACAGAGGGATAACTTCAACGATGTGTACATTGTTTATGAGTTAATGGATACTGATCTGCATCAAATAATTCGATCTAGTCAACAATTGACTGATGATCATTGTCGGGTTAGCACTAAAACTATTTCTTTAAGCATGTGCTTTTTAATCTATCTTGTTGAATGATCTCTAGATTATTTTCCCTTTTAAAATTATTGCCAAACTAAAGTTAAATAGCATGCTTGGATTAGCTTAATCAAAATTCCCAAGAGCTTTTGGCAGTTCTGAATTTCCTTCTTACTGTTTGGAATCTCCTTGGCTCTAACCTTTTTGTTTTGAATTAAAACAGTACTCAACCTACATGGATTTATATAACCAAAGATATTTATACTGTCTCACAGTGACTGATAAGATACATTTTCCAGTATTTTCTGTATCAGTTATTACGAGGACTCAAATATGTACACTCAGCAAATGTTCTGCACCGTGATCTAAAGCCTAGCAACTTGCTACTGAATGCCAACTGTGATCTTAAGATTGCAGACTTTGGTCTCGCTAGAACTACATCTGAAACTGATTTCATGACTGAGTATGTGGTTACTCGGTGGTACCGAGCTCCAGAATTACTTCTTAATTGCTCAGAATATACTGCTGCCATTGACATATGGTCTGTGGGTTGCATCCTTGGTGAAATCATAACACGGCAACCCCTATTTCCCGGGAGAGATTATGTTCACCAGCTCAGTCTGATTACAGAGGTATGTATTAGCTAGAGATCCTGAATGCTGAATGATACTTTTTTACAGATGGTTCCTGAATTGCAAGCATGCTTATTGTGCTTTCATTCAATTTTATTTTTCTTTTATATATTAGAATGTTGGAACCACTTGCAATTAGATAAAAAGAGAAAGAAATTCTATGTTTATCATTTGATTCAGGACAGATAAGGCGCAAGATTCAATGGATCAAAGTTAGGGTTTTCTTGGGGAATTAAGCACAAAAATTAGGGAAATTTTGTTACAAAAGGTTAGGAAAACTGGAGTCATATGGGATATGCAGGGATTGATGGTTTGCTAGCAAAAAGATGATTGTTAAAGGAGACATTCTAAGGAACTCAAAGAATAATAATTTTAAGGGCTCAGATTTGATTCTTAATAAGGAAAATAGTAAGAACAGCAGTAGAAATTGAGAAGAACAAAAATTGAGAATCTCCCCTAATGTCCGTAGGTTTTCACACCTAAGAGAAAGAGACTCATCATCACAACATTGGTGGCTAGGGTATTTCCCTAAAATTGATTTTTTTTATTTTTTATTTTCTGTTGTCTTTTGTAGCTGGTTGCATCACATATATAGGGCTGGTGAAACTTGTGTAGTCTGAACTTTAGTCTCAAGTCTAATAGTAAGCCTCTAATACACATAATGAAAGCCTAAATAAAAATAACTCAAGAAGGACCTCAAATAAATAAATAAATAAACCTCTAGAAAAGGTCCATAAAATTAAATAAATAGAACTAGATCAGTCTTAGAAAGACCCTAATGAAAATTACTGAAATAGCCATAGGACTGACAATACACTATTGATTATTTACAAAATTTACCCTAATTGAGGAGATGATAACAAAAACTCATTCAAGTGTTTTGTGGTTGTGAATAGAAGACTGATAGGAGTTGTTGTTGCAATATTAAAGTCAGGACTAAAATCATTTCTAGACCTCCTTGGTGAAATTTTTGCATTTCTTCAGCATTTTGTGTATTGTGAACCTGTATCGCCATGTCTAAACCAATGCACCAGGGTGGGGTTGGGGGGGGGG